ATAATAATTTAATTATTATTAAAAGAATAAAACCCAAAGTGGGTATACTCAGTGCATGTTCTCATTTTAGTAAAAATCCTCTCTAATACAGTGCAAATTTTTCCCAATGCAATCAAGCATAACATCTTAGATTATCCTCTTCTGTTCTGCAGCAGTGCTAAGAAGATAGAATGCAGTAAAATAAACACAATGGAGCTGACTTTTGGTTTATGAAACTACCTTCTAGAGCCATTTAAGATTGAGCTGATACAGGGATAATATGTATTTTCTGAGCAAAAATGATAAGGAAAGTATATGCCAAGAAAGCAGTCTAAAGTTCTGTTTATGCTACTGGAGATTGTATTACCATTGAGCTTCATCCTGCCAAAAACGCCTAGGGAGAGGAGTAATCTACATAAAGAGTCCCATTTATTTTAAGCTTCCCATGTTTCAAATGAACGGCAGCTGGATTTGTGGCAAGTCTCTAGAGCTAAGTTAGGATTGCCTCGTGCCATAATATGCCTTTGTAGCCGCAAGTACACTAAATAATCAATTCTGGCACATGAGGTGGCACAGAAAAGAACAGCCTAGCCCCTAGATCCCCAGTTTCTGTATTTGCCTTTGATTTCACCTTCCTAAACACAGTGTTTATTTTGGACAGAGATTACACATTTACCATCTTATTGAAATGATAACATCATTTGAACATTACAATAACCCCGTTTTTCAGGGAACAAGCCAATCATAATCTAGAAGAAACCACTAGCTTGTAATAGTCTCCAGAACTGTGTTCACTAAACTGGAAGATCTCTTGTTATAACGTGAGGCAAGTATGATTTAGAAATTAAAAACAGGCTGCACTGTCAACTGTAAGTAAAGAAAGGGAAGGATGAGGGCACCACAGTAAATAAGATCTCATTCTCAGGTCAAAGTGCTAATAATATACAACTGCAGCTTTCAATGAGAAAGGCAAGCTCTTATTAAATTTGTTGTGCTGGTATATTTTGAAAATGAGGTTTCTATAACCATGGATGCTACACAAAAAGAAGTGATGCCCTTCTGCCACTGGCCTCATTTCAAAGCTGAGTTCACCAGACTTTTTATAGGGACTATATAAAACTATATACAACGTAACTGCTATTTTTCCAGATTACCCACCAAACCACACCAGTTCAGATAATTTTCTCTGAACTAACCATGAATTCACAAGAGTGAGGAGTCTGTAGAACTTATTCCAATGCTTTTTTAAGCTGACACTCTACAACTGATACAGTCTAGTGACCAAACACTGCCTATATACGACTCTCTGATATCACTTACCCTTCATGTGTCTTTATTTCAATTAATTAGAATACAATGAGCATATAAGCCCTGAGGAGATAGTATTTTAAATGAAGAGCAAACATAGTTTTATAGCTGTTTTCACTGTTTTATTCCTATGTTATATTTATTTTAAAAGACGGACAGCAAGGTATGGGAAATAAATACATGATTTTTTTATAGCTTTAGGGTTGTGTAAAATGCAAAGCTTACCTCTCCCTTGTGCTAAGTTCCTGTTATATCCTACAGGACTAAAGTACTCAAATATAAAGACAGCCATGGCGGACACAATGAGAAGCATCACAAACATCATCACCCAGACAGAAGCACTAAAAGGCTCTGCAGCAAAACAGACAAGAGAAACAGAAACACAGTTCATTAAACCAGTCGCAGCACAAGAATTCTAATGTCTTCAGCTAAAGCCCAGCAGCTTTCTTTAAATTAGCTTTTACCAACCAAAATGCTAGCAATTAACTAAGTAGCAATATATAAAGAACTGCTGTTAGTAAATATACAAAATTCATACAGTCTAAATCTTAAATGTAAGTTGCAATTCAAAAACAAAGGCTGCACACTTTTCTTCAACAAAGCCTTCACTGACACTGAGTGGCAAATAATTGGTTTGACTCGCTGCTTATTCAGTCTACAATCAGGTAGCCCACTTCTATTTATCCTATGTTATATGCATTTATCAACAGAATGGTCCAACCATTATGACTGTGTTTCTGCACAGCAAAAGCAATTAAGCATATGTTTAATACATTTGGTAATTCACTGAAGTAGACTTCTCTCTTGTTTTCTATCCAACAAAAAGTGTTAGGGAAAAAAGCTGAATACTTGCATTCAAACTAAATTTTTTTTTTCAGAATTTTTTTCTCTCTGTGTTCACTTTCATCTACCTGCAATGAAGATATTGTTTTTACCAATTGCAAACCCATCCTTTTGAAAGTCTCATTCTCATCTGGGAGCAAACTTCTGAAAACAAAAGGTTTTTATGGAAAACTGAAAGTCAGTTTGAAAGACAGAAAAAAACATGATTAAGTAAAAGAAGTAGGTTGGAAAAGAAATCTAAAAGCATTTTCAAATACCAGACTAAGCACCAACTTTTTGAAAGGATTGGATACAGTAATAGTATGTGATAACACAAAGTTCTTAAATATCTTGCCCAATAACAAATTCTCTGTCATTTCAGGAGTCCCTGTGGTAGCTCTCATGGTATAAGGATATATGCAAGAAAGGTTTTGTACGGCAAAGTAATATCTCTTTGTCTGGGGGCATTTTATATCCTAATTTTGGTAGATAATGCAAGTGTGAGTGTGCTCTGAAGTGTGAGAAAAAAAATCTTAGTATATTATTTCAAATTAGGACAGAATCAAAAAGCACTTGAAAGGACAAGAAATCAGGGTGTTCCAATACTTTGCCTTCCAATGCATTTGCCTTCCAATGTTTTTGAAAGCCCAAGAGGTTCCTCCATCCTAACTTCTTCATTCTTTGAATTTAAATTAAGATTTGAACCACTGAAAATTCTTCCATCATTGCAGGAACCGACTATGAGTGAGAATTGAGGTGTGCTAAGCCCAATAGCCCAATCTGAACCTTGCCCAAGTTAGCATAAATTCAGATTCACTCAGAACTAGAATGAAGTGTAATAATTTGGGCCAAAGCATGGAAATCTCATGACATCATTTGCCTTTGCTACAATTTCTTCAGAAATTTGGAACCAAGAAAAGACCAAATTCCAAATAGCCCCACTGGTGATTTTGGATGTGAACTAAAAAGGCAGGGCAGGGAAATTTTAAGCCAAACTGTTCTCTTTCTGTTTTTAAGATAAGGCTAAGGAACAGGGGTTTTTGATTTTTTTTTTTTTTTAATTATTTTATTTTTAAGACAGGTTATGAAGTTCTTTCAATTACTATAATTATTTGTTTGGAAGAGCAAGTTAGCAAAATAACAGAATTCTTAAAAGGCTGAGAAAGATCTGTTCAGATGCAGACAGGTAAAGGACATTACGTAGCCAAATACAGTTAATAACAAATATTCTATGAATTCACATATTAACTGGATTAAATTGGAATTCACATAAAACTATCATACAATTCTGACAGCACTCTCACAGAAGAAAGCAAGCCTGATATGCTTAGCAAAAGCAACAGTGTAGAAACAGCAATGGTAATTTGTCAAAATCTAAATAAGGCAAAGGGCAAAACAAGCCGATGTGAAAAAGTGGGCTATAAACAACAGTTTAAGCAGAATACTCTTTAATAATTTGAACAGTCTGGTAATGAGGTGGAGGATTATAAGAAGCAATACAAAAATACAAAGCTATTTAGAATAGCAAGTGGTAAGATTGAACATGTACAAAATCAATTGAATAACAAAGTCGATCTTCCTGTCATATTAGAGATCAAATTACACATTCAGCACTGTTCTTTCATTCTCAAAGGACAGAAAGAGAACTTCCCTCAGGCAAACAGCAGGTTTTATAAGAATTTTCAGTAAAGCTATGATATGGCAGAAAAATACTAATATGTAACTTGCCAGCGTACTTTTCAAATGATTGGCAATGGAGAATATTGAGCAATGAAAAAGATGTCTTACTCCACTAACTTCAAGTCTTACCTCCCACCACCAAAAGCAATACTTAAACAATAAATAAAATAAATAGGGGCATAGATTTCCTATTCCACCAATGCCTCCAAATAAGAAAACCGACCTATGAACTCTCTCCCTCTTAAAAATATAGATTTGGATTTGAGGCTTCCTTTATTTTGTTTGTTTATTTAAATAAAGTTGAACCAAATCTCCACAGAATCTTTAAAAAGTTTATTTGTGGATCTAGTGTATATGAATTTTAGTATGATATGAAAATGTTTTAATGCAGATAAAATTCTCATTTGAAGGAGACACCCACATCAGAATCAGAACACAGAAGATAATGAGGAAGAGTCTGTCAGCCCATCAGTTACTTAGATCTATTGGACAGAACCACTGAATGGAAAATGTATTTCAGATTAAATCCTGTACTTGTCTACATTCATAGTAACAAATCACAAAAACAGATATTTCATGAACTGTAATCAAGTGCCATTTTAAAAACATAATATTGTATTTGACAGATTTTTAAAAAATCTTTAAAAGAATTATGTAAGATGACTCTATTCTTAGACATTCACTTAATTGAAACAAAATCAGTCTGTGAATAAATTCATTTATCTGCCTGATAGTATTTTGCACGGCAAAGCATTTTACTACTATGCACACCTTATCAAATTACACAGTCAATTCCAGTAAAGCGGCAGTTTCATCTAATGTGAAAAAACAGAACATACTTCTGAGAGCACAGACTTGATTTATTGGTGCAGTAAACCAGATTTCTTCAAAAGTAATGCTATTCCATAGAGCTTTATAAGAAGGGGTTATTTTTACTTTTTGAATTATATGTGCATCCAACTAAACCAATGACATGAAATGCATTTTAGAAATTTAATAACTATGTTGTTATGAAAATTGCAAAAGCAGCCTCTCTTTTGATGGTAGCTGTAAGCAGGTTTTTAAGAGATAAGCAGAGTCCATAGTAAAAATCAACTGCACTTGCAACACATTTAGAAAATACCCCAGTACTTGTAGTTCAAATGATAATTTCAATATACTGCAACTGCAATTTTAAAAATGAATTAACTTTACAAGTCAATGACTTATAGAAATGAAAAGACACTATCTGAATATTTTCATTAAAAGTACAGCCTCTTCCAATTTCATTTAAAAGTCTTTCATTCATTAAACAAAAATACTAACCACCAACAAAATCTGTTTAGGTATCACTTTGAGAAGTTATTTGATTACTCACTGTGTTATATTTATTTGCATCATCTCTGTAATATGCCTTTATGGAACAGATATGAGAAATAAACTCTGTGGCTAAATGATGATTCTTGTGCAAGAAAACCCAATTATTTGCCCACTTGTAGCTGATACTACACCAACAATCTGCTCCTCGATGGCTACAAGTGATTTCAGTGGAAGTGAAGAACTTACACTTAGCAATCTAAAAAGAAACCATACAATCAGTGATGCAAAAATGGCATCACTGCTGACCCAATGGACTTGAACATACTAAACTGTTCCGTAAGATATCTGGAAAATACTGTGGTTTGGTTTTTTTTTTTTTTCAATTTCACTTAAATGATTTTAGTCACTAGCACTATTTTCCTGTGCAAAATATCTTTAAAAATACTGGGCCCAAATACACTATGAGGAACATAACAGCATTCCGGGCACTTTTGATCCACCTCATGGCTCATTCTCTTTTCAGCTTCAGGTAAATTCAGGCAAACCACCAAATACAGAAGTAAACAATAAGCACTAAAAGAGAAGGAGAGGGAAATAATGAAAGGAGAAATGAACAATTGAAACAAGAAGCAAACAAGGAAAGAAGACCAAAGTCTTTGTTTCTTTATATTGCACCTCCTTTCTGTCCAGCCCTTCATTTCTTTGCTATATCTCCACAGTTCAACTGCATCATCACAACTCCACTGTTCAATTGCATCAATGGAGAAAACACTCAGAAGCTCTCCAGTGCAGTAGTATGGTGTTCGGAAGCCAAAGGTAACTGTTATCAAATTAGCTGACAGACCTCTTCCAATCATCAGGAAGTCTCTTTTTCTTAGCTATTCTACAAGGGGTTTTTAAATTATTTTGTGAATGTGACTGTCAAAATGATATGAAACCATTTATAATGGGCTAAACAAGCATAAATGAGTTTGTAAAGTTTTTGAGGAAGTAATTTTCCCAGCTGAAGATTTTGGGGGATTCTTTTTCATATTGAGATCAGTATCACTGGTTTTCACTTACTGCATCTGAAACCAACAGCATTACCTTCGTGGGCTAATAATCATGATAATCATCACATCAACACAGTACAAACTCCCTAATATAAAATTCAAAACTTGGCAGAAACATGTCAATGCACTATATAGCTTCATGAACAATGAAACATACCCAGCTCTATAGAAATGCAATTAAATGATCTGGATGGGTTGGAGAACCATACCTAGAAAAGCAGATGGTGAAACTGTGCCATTGCTCCGTGACACCATGACACTAATCCCAGTCTCAACAAATGGCACTGAAAAGTCAACCACTTCAGAGCGCTCTTCATTAATAGTAAGAGACCCCACAGCCATAACTGCACGATGATATACCACCTGATCCACAAAGAGAAGACACCACCAATATTACTCAGTAGAGAATACCTCATTTCTCCAAAAGAATTAAAAACAAGCATTGCCAAGTTCTTACTTAAGAGCTCTTTTACCTAACAGAACTTACTTCACCAATCATTCCATTCCACACATTATTGACTTTTTTGCCATGTTTCCCATTAGTCACCAAATACAGGTCATATGTGAACTTGACAGTTTTAGACAACTTCTTCAAGATATCAATGCAGAATCCTTTGCAGCACTTCTTTACATTAGTTCCCTCATTAGTTGAGTTGCTGTCAACAGAGAAGAGAGATGTAAACATTTCTACTGGGAAAAACAGAAGAACCACACCAGCAAGATTCAGCATACTGTGAAACAACATTTTGTCATACTTGTCAGTGACCATGTTTTTCTGAATCAATGGAGAAATAATCCACAGGATGCTTTATATGGTGTTTGTAGCTCTTACTAATCATAACACAGTTGCTTGATGAGGGATAAATAGAAGATAATGGTAGACCTTGTATGACATGCTTTCTGCTGCAGTATCCAGCCTACTGCACTTCACTTCTCCATCAAGACACAGTCTCCTCTCACTAATCTCTCTCTTAGGCTTGGATTAAACATTTATTACTTTTACTCTCCAGACGTAAGACTACATGTCATTTAGTAATTAGAGAACTTCCCAATGTGTAAGCTATATAAAGGCACAGCAGTTCACTGTACTGAAAATGGATGCTGCACCTTTTTCTGCACTTTGAGAAGGTGAATTTCAGGCTGCCTTTGAGTGCAAAGATGAGGGATTTCCCTTCATTTTTTTTCTGAAATGTTCATTTCATGACCTCTAGAACTTTTTAGTATAAGCATCTTCAGAAGCCAAGGCAATATTTTACAGCCTTTGAAAGAATTCAAAATTAAAATAAAGCTAGTTTAAAACTTGACTAAGTACAGTAAAAAAAAATGTTTTTCTGGACTTCAGGAAGCATGTGCACAACCATTTAGCGGTCTCTGAAAATCTTCAGAAACATGCATTATATTCTCTAACATCTGCTCAGTAAAAAAATGTTGTTATATTCGGTTCATAAATACGTAGACTGAACCACAGAATGGGTGAAACAACACTGATAAATGCACAACGAGAAATTTTCCACTGATTTCTAATGACTGCTCCAAAGTCATAGAGCAATCAAAGCAGGGGACTTTTCTCTAGATGGTATGTCACAGGGGTATTTTATGCTGGAGTAGTTTATCCTGTTCCAAATTTCAGCATAAACATGCATTTTCCAATAGAAGACATTCTCAAATTGTTAAAGACTAATTAAAACAGGCATATTTCAACATAATTGGAAACAATTCAAAGAGGACTCATTAAAACAATTCTATTTTAGAACATAATCTTCTTTCATGTGACTGAAAAGGGCTAATTCTGGTTGACTTTGAATTTACTGTAAACTTACTATCTTGTCATTAATTCAATGTGACTTATATATACGTAACCAGAACCTTTCAACTTATTAAAAAGGAAGATGTGCAAACAAAAGCATACTGTGTGGGAAAGGGAAAAAGAAAGAGGAAATGAAATACGGAAGGAAAAGCAAAGATAGGAAGCAAGGAAAAAAAAAAAGCAGCAAAGTATCAGAACACAATTATACAATGAAAGAAGCAAAGAACAGAATTAATGAGAAAATAGGGGAATATATTTTGTACTCCAAAAAAAAAAAAAAGGAACGCTGTGTATTTACTTACTTAATTTTGACAAATTTACGACATGGCACGGTGTTTTTTTGGCAACTTTCCATCAAAGGATCCACATCTTCAACAATGACAAAGGGAGCCTCCTCCAGGGTGACAATACTCAAATGGTTATCGTCTGGGTCGCTGTCTGCGAAAGAGCTGTACCTTGGCCAGACAGAGTACTTCAGGCTCAGTGAGTTGTTCTCCCATTTCCCCACCTGAAACACCAAGATACACAGGCTGCTGATATTTGCTTCCTTGTTTTTGACAAATGAGATCTAATATTAAATGTGCTGGGATACAGGTACAGGAAATTACATTGCAAAGACAGTTGTCTTGGGTTTTTGTTATCAAAATTACTTTAGAACTTTCCTGTAATTGCATGACATGAGAAAATGCACTGTGGTAAAGACAAATAAGGTAACGTTATTTTAAGAGATAACAGCTTTATAGAGACTGGATCACATCAGTTAACACTATCTATCACCCGGCTATAGCTGCACTGAAATTTGACATGCATCATTTCCATTTGAGCCAGAACAGCAACCAGATACTCCATTTGTAATCTGGACCATATGCAGTAATAAGAAAACAGTTCTCAAAAAAAGAAAAAAAGAAAACTAACCCCTCCATGCACATACACATCAGACTAATAACCAAAGTATCATAATATTTCTGTATCTTCTCAAAAGAGAAGACTCTCCTGTTCCTATAGTTTGAAAAGCCATTGTGAAAGCTTTTACTTAGGGTTCCATCGCACCTGAGCCAGGCCAAAACACTTTTTTAGTAAACACAAGTTCAATAGTACGTGATTTAGTTCTTATTAGAAATAACATATTTTATTCTGCTTGAGTTAATGCCAACTGTTGAGGCAGTTTAAGAAAGCATACCCCACTTTACATTAAAATTGTCCATTTATTTACTATTATAAATTATCCCTTCTAAATTAACCTACATTTCTTTCCACTTCCAGAACACCAGAAAGAGGCATACGATTTAAATATTTTGAAAACTCCAGCATTTTCTTCCTCAGATTGTGTTTAACTACTTTGTATCATAAATCTAATTGCATGTTTTATCTGAGTAGCAATGACAGATAATATAAATGAGCTAGCAATCCACAAAAATTTATAACCTAATTCGTTTTAATAATTCTTCAGTTGCTTGAGCTAAACAAATTATAACTTAATCATGAGACTGCTAAAATATTTGTTTTGCAAGGAAAATGGTGCGAATTAACAGTACAATGAAAGACTCAGGTCCTAAAATAAACTGTAAAAAAATTGTCACCTACCTTCTGTCTTGTAAAGACTTTAAAATGAATCACAAAAATTCCTGAATAACATGATTTATATCTATTCCTATTTCGGGAAGCATATAAGCACATGCCCTTTGCAGCTTCCTTTCCATCCTGTTTGTAAGTCAAGATGTTTTACTGAACTTTAATGTAGGAGGCAGAAATGCCAAATCTCTATACACTTAAATTAGGAAATTCAAAATATCTCAAGGGAATTAGGAATTCACACCTAAACCAATGGGAACTGGGCATAGGATTTATACATACAGTTCTAGTATGAAATTTAACCAAAACACAATGGATGAAGCCTTTGTGAGAAAAACTATTTCATACACAGGGAAACAAATTTATTTAACTCTATGAGATAGGTATATTGGAAAAATAGTTTAATTGTCAAGTTATGGTATATAATTGCATTCACAGCGGAGTCTGTGCCGGTTTACATTAGCTTACACAGTGTCGTTCATATCTATGCCCTAAGTACGCCATGAAGTTGGCCATCTGGAATGGGGAGGTTTCCAGCCAGCTTAGTACTTCAGTCAAACAGCAAACGTGCCAAGTAATGTGATGAATTTTGGAAGTGGAAAACATGCCCAACCGGCTGCCTATTCCAACCAGCAAGAAGAAACCGAACGTGACTGAGGCTCAGTTGCATTTGTGTGTTCAGGACTATATAGCAGTGGCAGCACCTGCCTTCTAAATCACTCGATACAGGATTTTGGGAGGAGGCAGACCTGCCTAATCCTGAAGCGCTTCCCTGTGCAAGCCACCCCCCGCACCTGCATCACTGTCACAGGAATACGAGCTGCCCACGACAATATGAGTTCACCTGAACCTATCAAAAATGTTACGACTGTTTGGATGCTGTTAAAAGAGGAATTATGATACTTTTTCATACTTCAGCTGGAGTAACTGCCATTTTATTGTTCTGAGGAGGATATAACCAGTCATATTTTTAAATGGCTGAATTTGGGGAAATGCTAATTTCTTTTGACAGTTGTATCTGTATGGAAGGGTTATGTGTTGAGCGAATCACTAAAGTTAGGTCCAAAATTTTTTATCTGTTGCCTTCCAAGGATTTATCTCAATATTCAGTAACCTTATTTTTAAAAAATAATTAAAAATTAAGACCTTGCCCTGGGTCTTCGGGGCATCCCTACTTCTCTGTCCAAAGAGGTCTACTGCTGCAGTCCCAGGGTGTCACAGTGACTTTATCTGGGCTTTGTATGCACAAATCGCATATCCATTGCAGGTCATCCCTGCTACCACCAGTACAATGAGTAACCCACAGTGTCAGAAAGCACAATGAAAAAGAAATACAAGAGAAAGATATCGATGTCGTGAAGAATGGTAGAAAAGCAAAAGGCAGAAAAGCTCTGAAAATCCTCGCTGGTGGGCTAAGAATGGCAAATGAGGAAGGGTAGTAATTAGAAAGAGCCTTTAGGTCACTCCTTTTGTTGGGGAAATGTTTCTGTTGGATTTGTTCTGTTTGTTCTAATTAATAAATGGTTAGCACAGGCATTGGATTTGCTCTGCTGCTGATGCTGGACTCACAAGTGAACAGTTTCCATGTTTATTTGGTATTTTGATTTTAAAATAGCTTTACTGTTGAAGATTACATGTTGCACTTCTATCATTCTGCTACAGTTTTGAATGATCAAAACACTTTTTTCTTTTTCATTTAGTTTAAGTGGAGAGTAAGAATTTAGTTTTATACAATTAAAGCACATAGTCAAAATATGGGAGGATTTTTATATTTGCATTAGAAGCCTTTTAACTTATACAGAACTAATTATAGCATTGTTATTAAGAATATGTGTGGTATTAATTATTTACACAATGTTTTGTATCTTCATATATTATTCAGTTCTTTCAACATCCTTGTGCAATTGATAGTATCCCTTTTTTACAGGGTGAAGGGTTGAAATGACACAGAAAAGTTGTAGAATAAGCAAAATTAAAACATGATCAGGTTCCTGTTGTAATAAAGAGAATTTATGAAATTGCATCCATATGTAGGATCAGCATTTATATCACTTATGGAAATAAGATCTAGTATTAGATCCAGTCAATATCTGTTTTGAATGCCTTTAAAACCCTCAAATGCTTAGGGGAAAAACCAACAGGTTATAACAACTACACATGCTCATTGTATTTCAGAACATTATAAAGAGGTCTGCTTATAAAGTGTTAAGAATTTGCAAACCCAAATGTTAAGTCCTTATTCAACACTGACTGTTAAAGTGGCTTACCTATGACAACACAGCAAAATACCTGAGTTAAAAAAAGCATGCCAAGTCCCAGTTTCGCCTGTGAAGGTCATTATAAATGCTGCAGAATATGAAAATGTTCATATGTAAAATATGAAAAGTAGAATATGAAAAGTTCAGCTGCTGCTTTCAGTAGGAGACAACGGTGATATTTGAATAAACCATTTTACAGTGAAATAGTTTACCAACCTGGACAGCTTCAAAATTCAATTGCCTCCAGTGTTTTGCAGCACTCATTTTCAGTGTACTACTTCATGATCATTATAGCTACTGATGAAATGAACTAAACGTTGCATCCTCCGACTAAGTCCAAGCATCTAGATTTGAGGTAGAACGGGTCTGTGTTTAAATTAGCATGCTTACCTACTAATATTGGTATCCCTGATACAGATATTCTTTATGCAACATTTTCTAATTTTAATGACAAATGATTTGAACACTACAGCACATTTATTTGCAGGTGAAACTACAAACCTCCAATACGGAACAATAGTGAACAGTAACTCTACATACTCCTAGCAGAGACCAGAAACAATTTTCATAGCCAGTCTATCAAAGGCTAACAGGTCCACAAAAATAAAATAGTGGTAAACTCACATGTAGGATAGAAACACACTACCTCTATTGTGGAAATGTTATCACTACAGTGAAGAATTACTATCTTATTCTTTTCATCTGCAGCCTAAAACTTCCTACTTGTGCTTGATCAATCTCAAGGGAACTCTTTGCCATTCAAAAGCTTTTTCTTATCTCAGTCTTCAAGTCATCGCTGCTTGGAAAAGAGTAGCTAGAGGACAACAAGGAATTAAAATATTGCACAGGCCTGCCAGGTTGCCAAAATTATGTTTTGATAGGGTGGGAGATGGGTAGAAGAGAACCTTTCTGAAGATAATTTCCATTATCCTAATTTCTTGAAAGAAAACAGTTCAGAAAGTGGGCTTTTTACTGTTCAAAACATAAAATCACCTTTTGAAATCGTTTGTAAACAGAAATAGAGATGTTTTAATAAAGCTATTGCACTTATGGTTCTGGACTTGCTATCTAGAAATACATGATAATTTATCAGAATATTTAGAGATAAATTTGAGGTGAAAGAATTTCAACTACTCCAAACTATTATTTTGTTTTGTTTTGTTTTGTTTTGTTTGGGTTGCTGTTTCATAGAATTTGAAATTTTAATTTTTTTTTCTCTGAAACAGAATGGAAATATTTTTAAGATTTCAAAACTGTGTCGGTGAGGATAATCATTTCCCCTAGCCCCCAGAAGAAAGACTACTGCCCCAGAGAACTCGGCTGAAAGCATAGTTCATTAACAATAGGCAGCCAGAGACACATTCCAACTGCATCAAGAAGAATCTCATGTATTTGAGTTGGTGTGGCAGGCCAATTAATATTACTAGAGAAATTAAAAGTGAAAATGAGCTTATTCTCAGCAGATACAATGGAATATCTGTGTTGCTAGATTCAAAAATGGAGGGGGAAAGTAAAACTGCATTAAGAAAGATTTTAAAGTAATAAACACAGTAAAACAAACATTTTTTTAAAAAGAAAATTCAAGCTGAGGATAACGCTCAAAAAAATGCAGACATGCTCCATTATGGAACTGTCAAAAATTGCATGCAAATACTTTTACTCTACTGTGTGGAAATGC